ACTGATTACGCACGGCAAAACGTTACCGATTACCATTTTCAATCATCCTCGCGGACAGATCGATTTACGATTTCAGCGACTTCACCCGTTCACCGCGTCGTCCTCGACTGCGGGAGTCGCCCCGCTGGAATATGTATGAAGCTCGGGGGACTCGGGCGCGTTTAAGAACCGAGGCGAACGCGGTTTGTCGCGGCAATTAACGGCAAGGACTTTCTTATTAACTTTCCTCGAAGAACATCGCCGCGGTGAAATCATCGGTTAAAGAATATAAGCAAAGAAATTGTCGCGTGCCAGGGCTTCTCCAATCGTCACGGTCTACATAGCCACCTGAGTTTTTTAGTTTCATTATTCGAGCGAAACGTTCGCGCACATATGAACGTAGCATCGCGTCACCGTCGCACGCTGTATGATATTACTTCTGAAATAGTTCGATTCATCGGCAATTTCTTCGCGGGAAAGTGATCGGACCGCATCGAATGATAGCGCGTCTCGGATCGTTGAACGACGGGAATTAAAGCTGTCGCAAATGCATTTAATTCTGCAAGACGCCCGTGAACTACTTTCCAGCGCGGAACGCGAGGCGTCTAATAATAATCGACCCCGTGCGTCCACGCGTTTTAGAAATGGAAACTCAATTTCGTCCACGCGAAAGTTTGCGACGCGAAAATCTACGTGCGAAAGTAGAATAGGAACTGGGTTTCTCCGCGCATCTCGACGCGTAAAAATCATTGATAGCGGGGACCGAGGAATTTAATCTGACTCGGGATCTCACACTGAAATTTATCATCGTTATTTCATATCCGGATTATTCTAACTGTAAATGATGCGCGTTCGTTAACTCGGCGTCCAATAATAATTTATACATCTCACGACTGCGTTGCGCACGACGCGATGTGTTAATGGACTGGTACACATACGTATAAGTTTATCTGTCGGTTTTTACAAGACCCGTTTCAATACTTAGTTACCTTGATGAAAATTCGTTTAATATACCCCGGGATCGGAGCCGGTGTTCCTTTTTCTAAACGCGTACAGATTAACGTCCCTATCGCAGAAACTCGATCAACCGCTGTTGCACGCGATTAAAAGTAAAACGCGTGTTGTTTTCTATTTGGCTTTTAATTAGAATTGGAAGCGCATCGGTGAGTTTTTCGTCCTGGCTGAACTAATGCCGGCATAAATTAATGAGCGACTCATTCCGTTTCCTATACTGCAAAGGAATCACGTTTCCTCTAGTCTTTTTTTATTACCGCACGCAACGGATGTTCTCAGACAAACAATTAAACGTTTTGGAAATATAAATCAGCCGTTTATCTATTGATCTATTGATCTACAGATACGTATTACAGCCCCCGATATCTAATGACATTAATCAAACGCGTATCAATTCATTGTTCCTACTGTTCTCACTGTGTCAGAGAACTTGTTACGTTTCTCTCCTATTCACTACGAAATCCTGTCGTTACCACTTTCTACGAGCGTTTAATCAGCACGATCGTTATCTGTTTCTGGTTGTAATTACAACCGGCGTAAAGGGGTCAATTAATATTCGTTCATTAGCAGGAATGTAATAGTTCGCAATCTAACCCTGATACATATTATTGACGGCGTGGCATTTTCATAAGCAATGGGACTAGTTTCAGCCCGGAGGGACCCTTCACAGGATCTTAATCCGGCTTTTCTCATTTAATCGATCGCCGGGACAAAATACGTGGCCAGATCGAACGCCGTGGATCTCGCGGCGCGCGCGGCCGCAACCGGACCGCGGAAACGGTTTATTAGCATCGGCGGGTATTAAATCGCTCGGCAGCATCGGGTACAACGTAAATTGGTACCGAGTTACAAGTTGCGTTTTAACGAGTCGGAGGAGTCCCCGTCTCGTGTTCACGTGACCGGGGGAAAAAGTGACCGGCTCGCATTTACGTAAATTGGTGCGTAACGTCGGCTAATAAAATCATTACGCTGAAACAGAGAATCTATGGGCACGAAATCGAACCACCGTTACGGCCGTCCGGGACGTATGTACGTGCGTCCAGCGGCCGATTTACTTAAACCCGGAATGGGAATCGTTCCCATTATTCTTCGTTCCAACCGAGAGAGGATGTTTACATCTGTACGGTGGACGCGCGGGCACCTCGCGAATGAATGTTCGAGATAGAACCAACGTCTAAACCAATATTCACTGGTTTTAATGATACACCGCGGAAACCTGTATTCCCTTTTACGGTCAGACAAGATATTTTCGTCGAATGGAAGCTATTACGAGAACAGTTTAATACGCGAAGTGTCCCTGACACGAGCCTGGGTCAGGTGACCAATCGTACGACCTCTGACTACGGGGGGAAATGATCGCGTAAGAAATATCTAATTTATTACTCTCGTGTCATTAATTTCTCCGAGCGTAAATAATTACTCCAGTTCGCGTTACTGGCTCGCACGAGTTCTGCACGCCCACGCAGTTACGCAACGCTTGTTGCCTGAATTATAAATCAGATATGCGCGACTAATAGAGGAACAGATTTGGTGACGACGCTCGCCGAATCGCAGCAGGAGACTCGACTAAGGTCACCGTTTTTATTAGCGATATTTTCTTTGGGAAATGGAATTCCGCTGGAGGATTTCTTTGTCCTACGGAATGTTTCGTAATTATTATTCATCGCGAGCGGATCGTGGTAGGATAATAAGTCTGACTCCACGGCTCGTTTTCCAAACAGACTCATTCCGCGTTGCGCGGGTTTTCATTGAGGAGAACAATGGCACCCGCTAGCGTGTACCGCGACGGGTCGTGTATGCAACAAACCGGGAATAATAACTCGTAATCGCTTGCGAGGAACGGTGCCGAGTGATATTTTGCATTAAAAATAAAGGCCGGCTGTTCCGCGGTCGTGGTAATTGGCAGGAAAGTAACGACCGCTGGTTTTTCGCTGACGAGCGTAAAACGCATTCTCGTCTATTAACAGAAACTCCCGGCACGCGTGCACCGCGCAAAAGGCTAACGTGCCCTGATTCGTAGTGGTTGCGTGCTCCTTTCTACCAGTCGCCAACGTGTGTGAATGAAATTGCTCGTCTCGTTAAGCTTTTTTCACGCTCGAAAATGCATTAGGAGGATCGTCAAGAGGCTCGAGAACCGGCGTACCCACCTGAGGAAGTACAAACGAGATTCTGTCGTCGTCATCTTCAGGGAAATGATCGAAAAATGGACAACGCTAATGTCTTATGTTCGTGCGCACAGACGCATCTTGGATAACGTGCACATTCGATATTGACATTCAATTCTAATTTCAATATGTTTGTACAATCTTGTAGATAGTCTGAATAATCTAAACACATAATTAAGGAGGTAGATTTCATAGTGGCGCGATGAGATAGAATTAACATTAGAAATGTGAGTTTACACCATTCGATTCAACACCTCTATTTCTCAGATAATAAAGATAAAATTCGGTTTAGATTCTAGGTCATTCTAGTCATTGAGATTACGCTGATACTTAAAAAAATAAATGTTACAGAGTGAAGCAAAGATCGTAGCTACTGTGTTTTGAATTTTAACCGTACTTTAAACAAAACAATAAATTAAATTTTGTCTTCATTCTCTGAGAAATGAAGATATAGAATCAAATGGCCATATTCTGCACTATTTTTGCCTGGTTAATGATAAAACAGAGAAAAAGAAGTTAGAACTCTACTAACAAATATTGATTGAGAATTCACGTGACCAGCCCCTTAAATGCCAATCCTGATTTTATAAAAAAACTGATACAAAATTGGTATTAGTGGAAGATATAATTACCGAGAGATCTAATATTTGGATCTAATTTAGTGACAGAATTCTCATGAGTACTTCGTTATTATTTAATTAGTTTGTAGAACGTGGAAATAGTTTACCTGAATCTGCTTTGGTCTCACGTGTTCGACGTTCAATCGTCCCGGCGCATGATTCCAGGGGCACATGGAAATAAAACTGATTCACGAACGGAGAACACGACGGGCACGGCGATTAATTCTCATCGTTTCGAAATCGAATTGTTGACTGACGCGTTCGTCGAGGCCTCGACGAGAGAGGAGACACCCGCGATCCGCTCTTTGAGACGACCGGAGGTTTACTGACACCGGCGCGGCGCCTCCACCTGCTCGTAATGTAAGCCAGGTTTCAGTTTATCCTGCGATGCGTCAAGTAGAGGGGCAGATAGGACAAACGTGAAGAGCGTGCCCGGCCCGATGTTCAACCGTATGCATGCGGAATAGCCACGAGACGGACATCGAAGTGGTAGAACTAGCTTTCGGAACTAGCACTCTTCGCTGGTGACGCGAAACGACTGCAACAGTTATTGCACGGTTCCTGAACGTTGTCACGGGCATTCGATTCGCGGGCAGGAATCCACGTTCCATCTAACTATTCTTCACCGTTCTCCAGCACAATTTACACCGTACTTATTTACACGATTATCATTTTGATAAGCACAAACTGATAACCTTCTATCAAAGCTTTTTGCAATCGAAACTTTTTGCCTAACAATTTACTTAATCTATGAAATGTTTATATTGAAATATATGTTTTATTTCGTTCTGCACTTGTCGATAATTAGATTGAGATAGTAACGCGGTAATTAGTCAATAATCGAGGAAAAAACAAACGAGAAAATACTTTCAATTTGATATTTACACTCTCGCACACAACCACTGGAATAGTATCAGATGATGGCGCGAGTTGGCGCAAGTTACCAGATGTTCAAAATGGCGGGAAGTGGAGGAGAGGTATTTGTGTATCTGGTATATCGACCACGATAAAGTTTATAAAATCGATTACGTCCGTCGCAAATAGAATACTTGAACTGTATTGTAAAAATTGCGAATTTGGTCGGCCGGATCTAAATTATGGTTTTATTTGTAAATGCAGATTGTACTTCCAATCACTGTTTCTATTAATTCTAACCGAAGCTAGAAGAAAAATATTTCACGTTCCTGTTTAAGAGTATTAATTGTGTAACGTAGTGTTTAATTCAGTTTTGAAGCAAAGTCTTTCAAATGTGCAAGTGTATTCTGTGTATTGCAGTATTCTGTTCCACAGTTCCGATCCTGATGCAGGTAAGTTAATCTCTCATAAATCTGAATGTTCTTAAACTGTAAACAGAATTAGTGACGAACAATTAGAAGCACAAAGACTATTGTTCCAATGTATTGTTCAGTCGTCAGTCTCGTACGAACATTTTACGAGATTCTAGTTAAAGAATACACTTTTCTCAATTAACGATGTTTTGGGGTTGAAGTTAATTTAAGGAAGCTTGATCGTTATTAATTAAGAATGAAATGTCTGAAATCTAATTGACTTATACTACTAACGGCTTGCCTGAAACTCTGGGCGTCACGCGAGCGAACCTGAAGGTTTGCCAATGATTGTCTGCTTCATGAATTCTTATTCTACTGTCGAACGTAATCTACAATTCTAAAAAGACGAGTAACGTTTTGAGTGCGTCGTTTTGTTACAAATGATGAATTCCTAATTGATGAAACTTGAAATTAAAAAATTTCAAATCCGAACAATGGTGAATATAAATATTGTAACGATTTATAGTAAGACAATTTGATAACCTGCAATTTATTCTAACACAAGTGAACGCGTGTATGATTTACTGTATTTCGCAGCAAAGCGTTCAACAGGATTGCAGCTCGAACATGGGCGCAACACATTGCAATTTGTTCCATCCGTATTTGAATTACAATCATAGTGAACACTCTGCTGAAATACAACCGTTGTTGCACCGGCGTTCGAATTACAATCCCGTTGAACGCTGTGCTCAGGTAGAATCTTGTTGCGTCGTTATTCGAGTTACGATCGTGTGGAATGATCCATGAAACGCGATTATGTTGCATAGATTCTTCGAGATACGATCTTATGAATAGGAGGCGTCGCAATGCTCGATGAGAGAAAAGGAGAATAATACTTAGAGAAATCTGTATATTTTTAATGTGTTTTAATAAATGTCTTTTCTGCAGATGTTTTGTGACTAAGCGAGGCGCGCCTTGATGCAGTTGAGTGGCGAGCGGAAATTTTCCGAGCTGTACTGTAAGTATTCTATTTTTAATTTCAAATAAATTGTGATTTTAAGAATAAATTGTAATATCCTATGTGTTTTTCTCTGCTAACAGATTGTTCAGAGGTCTAAGGCGGGTAGTAGCGGTTTGGGTGAGTCGCATACTTTATGGTCTCTCTGGCACCCAGTTATGCCACGGGCTGAAAGGTCCGAAATGGCACGGGTGCTGGTTATATTTTATTATACACGTTGCTTTGTGATTAATTTATTTATTAGGGCAGGTAGATCTTCTTGTACACACGGTACGTACTTAAAATATTAATACAAGAAAAATGAAACACGGATATATTCCAAGATCGTGGTTTCATTTGAAATTATTTTTTGATACGCGAATATTAATTATTTTTTGTGAGCAAATAGCTGCCATAGGGCAAGCTTATTTTACGATTGAAAGTACAGATATATTCGTATTTCTGTTTTTAGTCTGTCTTCAGTAACAATTAATCAGTTCTGAAATTTAACTATTTTTCCGTATGACCAGTTTTAATTGATTCAGTCGACTTACCTATCAAAAGTAAGGCTGTCTTGTCCGTAATCGCACCCGTTGCACCGACTGCACCTCGATGATAAATCGGTCTCTCGGTCGGTGTCTTCGGATCGGCGTTGATCTTTCCGATGATCGGCCACCATGCTCCACGTCTTGTGGATAAGGTAGAAGACATTCAGTTGCTTGCCTCGTCGGCAAGGTTGCGACTTCGTGTTCCCCATTCTGTCTGCTGTTGGTACTATTCAATTTCAAGAAATGTTTATGAGCACACTTTATGTCTATAATCTCTCAACAAGTAGACGATCTTTCAAATAACTAAAATGAAAGTTTTTAACTCCTCAGATTCTGAATCTCACTCCATCCTCTTTTGTTAATAACGATACAAGAAACGCGTTGCGTGCTTTTTGTACTTCCTCCTTTCGATGCAAAGATTTTTCTCCTTATCTCCTAGATATCTCGGCAGATACGCCCACATTCCTCGGACAATATGGAATTTTTCTCGCGCGATATCGGCCTATCTCGTTCATTGTCTTTGCCTCCGCGATTGTGCTCGTACTTGCGTAATTACGGGCCCGGCCCGACCTCTCGAAGGGAGCATTCATAAAATACCTCTTCTTCTACCTACCTACCTCCGCTGGCGAGAGGATTAAAAGTTCGCCTTTACGATGGTTGTTTATTAAGATATCACGGTATGCAGATTCATAAATCGTCCCTCGGGACTTTAACGCTGGATTGTGCAGCGCCGGACGCTTTCAACCGCGTCGTCTATTTGCCAAGATCGGCCGAGGTAGCCGGCAACATTTTTATTATGCAATAATCCTAGACGCGCACTCAATCGTTGAATCTCGGTTCTCGCTTAATTAAGATCGCTTTAATTAAAATCGGAGCCAGTCAACGCGACCGTGTACAATTAGAGAACACCTTTTCCTCCGCCTCCGCCTCCTCCTCACTGATACAGTGTTGGGCGACACGTGTTATCTCCTTGTTACCCGTTTCGCGCGACAATATTATGCGTCCTCGCGTCGTTAACGTCATTAGTGTCACTGTCGATTCCCACACTCGTTTACCGTGCACTCGCGGCGCTTACTTGCCACTGTTCGCGCACTCGGTTGGAAGAGAACGCGTTCCCTCGAAACGCATCCTGTCGCGAACGTCCAAGACCATTCATCTTGCCGTGGTGGCCCATTACGACTTTCATCGTGCAAATTTCTCGCAAAGTAACATAACGGCGTCTCGACGGCGGATCTTTTCAAAGACTCGCGCGTCCCAGTCGTGTAGTTACTTATTTACAGTTTTATCCGTTCGTCCCGCAATTTGTCGCGATAGGAATCTGTTAGCCAGTCGAATGAATCAATTAGCCTCCTCGGCATGTCTACCGTGAACGCGGCAAACTATTTATTCGTCGGATGTGAAAGACGAATTGATTAATCGATAAACGAGGTTGTCGAGGGGACGGGGAACGGTGGCGTGCGAACTTTTGCAAAAAACCGGCCAGACGGTACGGCTGGAAAACCTAGTGATCCACTGACACATGAAAAATCGTTGAAACCGTTATTACACTGCATTACGAGCTCTCGCCTGCACGCAGCCCATTTTTCTTCCGTTTTAGGAGAACGATTTCTTGTAATTTTATTTCGCCGAACTGTTATTCCCACAGCAATTTTACGTTTTCACTTAAATTGGATCGGTGATGATCACGTATTCATCGAACGAAGCATTATCAACGACATATTTTATATAAATCCTTGGGAATGTCTATTTATGCTATTTCGAACGATAGTAGTTGACAAAACGAAACTGGCGAACAGTCGTTTGAGTGCTGACTGAACCACTTCACGACGACGCGCTCTCAACGTCCATAATAAATCACGTCTCGCGATCTTCATGGGTCTTTGAATACCCGTAACGAGAGTTCAGCCCATAATATTTACCAGTGGAATCAGCCGACACCAGCGAGCGTACCGCGGTATCTACACAAACCCTTTCAATCGGGCGAGCGGTCTCGCATGAGGACCTCACCGATGCGTATCGCCCTTTTAATTGCTCGAAATTTCACCGGGAGAGCACCGTTGGAAACGTTCGCCAACTGTTAAGTCCCGAGAGAAACTGGATATCCGCGGACGACTTCCTCCTCGTCCATCGCAGGATCACATTTCACTTTCTTCAAAGTCCCTGTCACGCGTCACTGCCGCCGACACTCGCACAGAACGTTCGATTTTCCACGTCGAGAGCCGCCTTCGACCGCCGACTTATTATTCCCGGGCTCGCGCGGATAATTCGTAGTCCTCTGGCTGAGCGAGGAATTCCTGCGTGTACGCGGACCCGACGGGTGCATCGAAAGGTCGGTAAAAATGCGAGCACCAAGAGGCTCGGGAGGCATTCACCGGGCGGGTTTCAACAGCCGACTGCCAACTCGTGAATGCCCCGAGGTGCACGTGTGAGCATCGCCTCTCTCCGACGAGTCCGACGTCCTCTTCTACATCCCGCCTCGGCGTAGCCGCCTCCCGATGTCCAGGAGGATTCACAGACTGTAGGTCAAGCCGCGACCTACGGTCGCACCCGCGGTCCCGTCCGACGGTCCAAATACGCGTAAACATCGACGATTTAGTGGGTCAACATTCTTTACCAGTCGGACGTCGAGCCAATTGAATCCCATAGAGTGCATGCGTAAATTATCTTTTGTCAGAATATCGCTTTTTCTTTAACACAATTTTTATAAATTCATTTTTGATCGCGTTGGTGCGGACGGTTATAGTTTTAATCGTGAGTAATCTCAATGTTAATAAGAGATGACTAATAGAAGTCTCACGGCGTGTTGCTCTTGGTGAAGATCGCCGCTGTTGATAAGCCGGAGATAAATGATCGTATAAATTACTCTTCCATTTTTCTGCCATTCGAAACGGTAGGCAGAGTGGAATGAAACGGCAAGCTGGTAATTTTCATCGGGAAAAAGAAGCGTTCAAGACCGGAGAGGAGATCGATTTCGTACGTGGTCGTTTCCTCTGGGAGAAAGTAAATTGTCCGTTTCGAGATCATTGAAAAAATTATTTATGGATTATTCGTAAAGAATGGACGGTGCAACGGAGGGCCGTGGTTTTCTCAATTTACAGGCGCCGCCGCCTGAATTGCCACGACTCATCGAGGTAAAAGGTGAAATTCCAGGCAGGGCTTCTTCGTAAAAGCCCGTTCGAGCATTAATAAGATGGCTCGTGAAATAGATAGTTCCACGGTGCGTAATTCGCGTTCTGCGAGCAGGTTCCCTTCGGATCCGAATCGGTTTAATCCGGCAGAGATTAACCCGCGATGCTCGACCAGATTATCGTTTAACGAAAAGATTTTCGCTCGACTCTGCTACGTCTGAAAGCCGTTAGACCAGTTCGCTGATTTTACTGTGGTTCCATAATCAGAGGTAATCAAGTACCGGTGCTAGATAGGATTCGCAAGAAACGCGGTTTTCATGCCTGAAAATGGGTCCGCGCTGTAACAAGCGCGCGAAGAAGACCCCTTTAATCAACGGAGCAGGAAAACTCTTGAGAAAAACGCGCTTTTCACTAGGCGATTTATTGTCGTGGTTTATCGTTTGTTTGCAGATTATACTGCTCGTCACCCGGTTCATAAATCTTCTTCAAGCAACCGAGTAAAGTGCTACGTAATTTTGAAAATCTGTTTCTTCCCAATTACCGTAAATCCCACTAGCTTTATCTTTCATCGTGGAATATAATAATCGGACATTAATCAAAAACACACTCGAAACCTCGGATGTTTGAGGTCTCTATATGCGCTCCTCTGTCTAGCGTTTAATAGGAAACTAGTAATTCACGATAATTACAGTAGTGTTCGAGGAGATTGGAAATTATTGAACCGATACTATCGATTATAACGCAAAACTATAGCCGTGGTTAGTCGGCTACCGTAATGGCGGGTCAAGTTTCGCGTTTGACCCGCGAGTAAACGAGTACTAATAGTCAACGGAAATCTTGTACCGGAACCAACAGGTTTCTGCTTTAAACACTATTCACAGACGAACATTAGTTTCATTTCTCCGAAGTCTTTTTAGTCGACACGTTTTTCTCGGTGGAAATTGTTCATTAATGGTATTTAAATATTATGTGGAAGGTAAATGTCGCTATGACGTGAATCAAGTGCAGAAGCCACGCCTTTCTGATCAAAAACTGTACGCGAGATAAATTACACTCGTGTATCATTTAAAAGAATCCGTTCTCGCTTCCGGCTTCTTGTGCAATGCCGGGAACAAGGAAACGTTACGGGTATACTAATGAAGGTACTGCAATTATCATCTTGCACCGTTGCAGTTCGACGTACATTGGTCAACAGGGTTAACGTCTGATCTTCTTATAAATCTTTGTCGTTTCCCGCTTGTTACCATGATTCCAATTAAATATTAATACGCACTTTTCAATTCTGTTACATTGTTAACAGGGTGGAACCGGAATCCTTAGTTTATACGATCCACTTTACACTAATCATTCCAATTTCCTCTGCATCGTAAATTTCCAACATTTGTACAGCTAGTAACAATGAAACTGAGCCAATTCGGGCTAGTTTCCTCTAGAAGGACAAAATTCAAAACGAGTAATAAATATACGTTTTGTGTTAAAGTCCAACAGTGTCGTAATTTTTGTAACGAAAGGAAGAATGATTTATTCTAGAAACGGTGTTCGCTAAATATGTACTTTTACTTGTTTGTATCGTCGCTACAAGGTTGAAGTTGGAACTTCCATTTTCGTTCGACGTCCGATGGTAGATAGGTGGTTCGTGTAATCGCGTCGTGAATGAAAGCTAATCCTTTCACGCGAGGCAGTGACCTTTTCCGATCGCTCGGGGGATCGTCTCTCGTAGGGAAGCGTAAAACGTGGCTGCTGGTTAAACCGTGGATGGATCCGAGCTCGCCGGTTCTAGTGGGTCAGATTCACGCTTGACCTGGCCCGAACGGATACTCGTAATCATGTATCAACCGGCGAGGAACACTGCTCCTTCCGGATGCTTGCGCAATGTCGGGAACAAGGAAGCAACAAGAAAGAAATGATAATTGCTGTGTGCAGGAAGAAATTGTTGTCGGGCGAGGAAATCGGTGGAGCATTGTCCGAAACGGAGCTATTCAAGTTTTTAACCGAGCTTTTACCGCTCTCGACTAGCTCCCGTCTCGGCGCGTCGCGTTGTTTCGTTTTCAACGATCGGCAAAACATCGCGTGGATCCCTTCGGAACGATCAATTATAAACGTTTCGCAGTGGTTCGCCTCGGATTCGCGTGCATCATTTGCCTGGAACGTTTTCGAAATTATCACGTGATGAATATCGTGAATAGGAGCCTCGATGATTACAAGTTTTCGCGCCGGAAGCTTAGTGAATCGGCGCTGTAAAAAGATATTGTTCGAAAATTACAGTGGACGCGCGGGCAGGTATAGTTCGACGGGGCGGCGGCGTCTACTATATTCGTACCTTTCATAAAATGAAGATACTATTCCTTGGGAATAGCCTGCGCGCAGATACAAAAAGAGCGCACAAAGAGTACGTAATATCTATAATACTCGTGTGACCGTGGTTTGGTATCGTTGTGTACGTATACGTACATAGGTAGTAGGTGTACAGTATGTAGGAGATTGTTACTAGGAGTTACGTAAGATTCCCGAGGAGAAAGATTGTCCGCTAGAAAGCATGTCAATGTGGCAATCTGAATGTTTTTCTGTAGTTTTCTAATATCTCGGTTTGTTCGCTACCGTTGTCTCTCGTCACGCTCCGCTCCATCGCTAAATGCAAATCACATCCCAATTTCTTAAAATTCACAATTACTCGTAAAGAGCAGTATAGATTTTTTTTATGTAAAATTTTTGATCGCTCTTTCCAAAAAGGTCTGAAATCCTCGGCTGTTAACGAGTTTCTACTTTGGCTTTGAAGCTAGAAAACGGGACGAAGAGGAAATAAACGGTGAACGCGTCGCCCTTCGCCAACGGCTACGAATTAAAAAGTTGACGGAGCAAGATCACTGTTAAGTGGAACGAGGTGTTACAGAGTGTATCGCTTCACCGATTGACCTATAAATTTCGTATGCGTGTGTGTATTCGGATTTTTCCGAACAAACGGTAACACCTTCGCGTCGAGATATGAAACGCCATATATGTGCTAATACTGTTAATGGCTGAAATCGTTGCTCGGGTTCGTTGAACCGTCGTGCGGGTAGCGCTAGCTAATTCCTCAGGCTTTACGCAAATGATCTTAATCATCTGCTACAAGCTTATTGAAAGTGGGATACGAGTCAAAAAGAGAATTTTCTAAACTGCGAACACTTGCATCAGGCAAGGATTGGTTTTTGTCGATTAATGGATCTCGTTCGGTTTTATGATGTATTAACGTTGAAAGGCCATGAAATAATCTCGCGCTGCCAGTGAATGCAGATCCAATCCGTGAAATTAATGACATAGAGTGAATCGCGAGTCTAATGGAATCGAATGGTACGATGTTCTCGAAGCATCAAAGTCCAAGTCGAGACATGCATTCCTTTCGAGAGATGGATAACGTTCCGTGGGATGATTGAGGATGCTGCTGGTATCCTACGAAAGAGGTGATAAAACACGTTTTCCCGATAAGTACCGACAGACGCAATTACGGTTACCTACAGTTAAGGTCACGGAAAAAAGGCGTTCAGGTCTCGCTGGTCTAGTTTGCCGTAGTTAGATCGGTGCGTGAATGCGCATCTTGGTACCCGCTTAGAAAGACGTATCTGAGCGTGATACGTACGTACGTACGTACGTACGCGGCAACGACCGAGCCTACGCCTATCCTAGACGGTATTATAGTATACCGTTATATTATTTATAACGAGGAAACATATTTTGCCTACGCTTCCGCGTAAATGTTTTCCCGCCCTCCGCATATTTTCATTATTTTCATTATCGATTAATACGATGCTCGGCTCCTATTTGGCCGTTCATTACGCGAACACCGAGTCGTTCGTTCGCGGATATTAAAACTGATCGGGGCTATTTATAAACGTAGACAGGTGTCTGAACCGGACAGTTTATACAATTATTGTGGCCCATTAACCACGGCTTCGAAAGTGGCCGCCGTTTAATTACAGGAAACGACTTTATCGACTTTTCGAAATACGGTTTCTTACGCGATTTCCGTTTTTTATATATATTTTTACAATCTCTGGTTCGAGTTTCAAAAGAGGATATATTTTAATAAACCACTAGTCTTGTAGATTGTCATTAACGACGCAATGTCCACATGACTGCTTTCACTTCCATCTCGTTTTTCCTTTTTTTACAATTACTGATTCGTTCTTCTTTTTCCCCCGTTTCTTGTACTTGACTTTCATTTTGGAGTCACGTACGGTCATCCACTTCTTATAATTCTCGCATTGAACTTATTTTTTTAAATATTAATTGGTCTCCCCAGTTTCTCGTAAATAAAAATATTTGCACATTAGATTTATGCAAATATTTCTTAAATTTAGCTTCGATCCTAAACGATTGAAATTGAATTAAAATGAAAGAAAATGAATCTATAAAATGCTCATCGTTCATCATAAAAGTACAACAATTACGTTTTCATTCTCACTCGTTCTTCTCAACCATTACTGACGGTATCATTTGAAAGCGCTAGTCCCGGCCGCCGCAAGATGGATCGCAGCTGAATTCGCGGTGTGGCGTCGCTGCGCCAACATTTTCGATAGAATCTCCACTCTTATGTAAAACAATTTAGGATCCCGCCGGTTCCTGTTCAGTTTTGCTAACGTTTAATCAGTTTAATGGTCCACGCAGTACGAGAGTACGACTGTTCATGTGCACGTGTTCGCGCCTTGACAATAAACAAGCTGGCTACAGTTTGGCGCGATAATCTTAACGCGATAATACAATCGTCTTCGTTCGCGACGATCGGAACCACGAGGTCAGATACTAATTGCGATTTTAGAATCCTGAGAACAAACATGTATATTCGGACGAAATACACCTGAAGACTTTTGTAGATGTATTCGACAATCACTGCAGCTAGGCGGGAGCTTAAACTGTTTTACATAAGAGTGGAGACTCTATCGAAAATGCTGGCGCAGCGACGCTACAGCGGAGGGATTGTGTACAGACTCTTCAGCTGACGGCCTGTGTGCACTTGTGTTAACTTGTGTGTAGTCGTGTAGTCAAGATGGCCTCCGCGGAGCAAGTCGGTCTGAATAAAACCTGGGAATTGTCGCTTTATGAGCTCCATCGTACGCCCCAAGATGCGATCACCGACAACACGGAAATCGCCGTTAGTCCGCGTAGTTTACACAGTGAACTCATGTGTCCGATCTGCCTGGACATGCTCAAAAAGACGATGACTACGAAAGAGTGCTTGCATCGCTTCTGCTCCGACTGTATCATTACGGCACTCAGGAGTGGTAATAAGGTTCGTAGGGCTCTTCGGGGATTCTTCCCAGATGATAATTACTCGTCCGTTGCAATCGCATTTGTAATTAACTTTGAGGCTTGCACCCTCGCAGAAATCAAACTCCAATACTTGGTCAATGTTCTGTCACTGTTCGCTGTGTTTACATATGTCACTTCGTGATTTAAACACTGTGCTCTTCGTTTTTCATTATTCAAATCATTACAGCGACTGCTGTGGTTTAAAATAATGATGTATCTACTTGTTAACGAGAAAAATCAAATGCGAGCGTACTTTGTTTTACACATTTGTTTCTCTGTCAACTACGCAAGTTTAGGCGCGCTTTTCTAAACATGTTCGAAATGGGACGAGTTCTTGATTGATTGGTTTTTACAATTTGATTTATTTACGAATTGTATTAATTATTAGGCGATATATATATTTTATTGTCCAGAGCGAAAGATTTGGCTTTTATTTTGTAAATATTGTATTATTATCATGTTGTAATTTTTAATAAAAATAAGTTCGAACGTTTATTGATTAAGTTTAATCAGACTTAGTGTGAGTAAACCGAGTTTATGGTTGAAGAAAGTGAGTGCAAGTGAAGGTTAGGATGGTTCTGTGAAACTGCAGTTTCTGTTGTCCGCAGGAATGTCCAACGTGCAGGAAAAAGTTAGTCTCGAAGAGGTCACTCAGGCCAGATCCAAATTTCGATTTGTTAATATCGAAGATCTATCCAAGCCGTGACGAGTACGAGGCGCATCAGGAAAGGGTGCTGGCGAAACTGAACAAGTCACATTCGCAGGCCGCACTGGTGAATTCCATAACCGAAGGCATTAAATTGCAAAGCCAAAATCGGCCACAGAGGTCACGGAAATGTGCCAATGAATCAGAGAATGCTAGCAATGCGACGTCTTACAGTAACTCGCAAAATGCCAGCGCACCAGCCACACCGAACGCAGCGACAAATGCTGCGAATCAAAGTGATTCTTCCCAGAGCACAACGGGGCCTTTAAATAATAGCAGTGGGGGTAATTTACCAATTTTTCGCTCCACCTCGTTTCATCCTATGTTTACTATTACTTATATACTACTCTATATTAAGAATTTTTAATTACACAAGAACAGTCAGGGGAATCAGTAGATGAACGAAATTGCTTCTAGGCACGACATCTAGGAACTCTACGACACCATCACCGAACCCAGCTAATCAAATTCCTAAGCCACCAAAGCGGCAAAAGAGTTTACAGAATTCTGAGAATGATTCGTCTAGCGCGGAAGCTGAGACTGGTGGTGGAGATTCGATGGTAGACACAGAAGGCGAAGGACCCAGCGAGCCTTTATTATTAAACGAGATCGAGCTCGTTTTTAAGCCACACCCAACGGAGATGGCTGGTGACAATTCGTTGATAAAAGCTCTTAAAGAGAACAGCATCCGGTATATAAAAACGACGGCCAACGCGACAGGTGAATATTCGGGGAGTTCTCAACAGGGTAGTGATAGAAAATAATAATTCTTCCTTGTAGTGGATCATCTGAGCAAATACTTGGCCATGCGACTGACGTTAGACTTGGACACAGAATTGTCCGAGTCGGACAGGCTACTCAACTTTTGCATTTACATAGCACCATCGCCCGGCCAACTGGTGGTTCTTAGCGGCTCGCAGACGTTGAGACAAGTGAATGATAAATTCTGGCGTGTCAATCGACCTTTGGAGATGTATTACTCGTGGAAAAAGACCTAGGGAAGGCCTCGAAAGTATCAGTCTGATGGGAGTTAAGTCGCATTAACGTTTGACAAAAAAATTAAATAAAAATGAAAAAAAATACATTCGTACCGCGTGGAGTACAGATAGACGCGTATTGTTATACCAGAAGCGAACGATATATTTTATTGAACTTCATTAGTCTTAGGCCTTAGATTATGATCAAGGATAAGGTGGTATGAGGACAGCGAGATCCTCGTAATTAAGGAATGGTGCCCTTTTCATCCTTCTCTCGGGACTTGGTGTGTTCAAAAAGGAGTAATAGAAATGTCGATAGATTTTTAATTGAACTTTCGTACAGCGGTTTATTCTAAATGCAAACGGAGCTCGGGCTTGGATACAAACTGCCATTAATCAGATTGCATTGCATTATGAATGGATCGGGCCGAATTTTTTGTTGTTGCCGAACCGGCGCGTTAATACAAACTATGCCTTCTTTCGCCACAGGCATAAGTTATTACTCGGTGCCCCCATTTGCATTATAGAATCTCAGCAACCTGGTGGCCTTCATGGTTAAACAACTCGTTTAATTTAAGTCGCAGATTGCTGATTCTCGCTGTGGACCATTCTGTATAGTTTCATCGAATAAACCAGTGATATAACATTTAATCTTTTATTTATATGAGATTATCGAACGCCCTTCCACTTGTTCTCGTCCTTTTTCTTAAATTCTTCCTCTTTTTATTTGTGATAGAATGTCTCCCTTATGTTCATTCGTTAGAGTGTGATTGATCAGGCTTGCTTCCCTCCTCAAAGTGCTCTTTGATAGAAAAATCTAATTTTCGATCACGTTAAAGATACATGAAAAGCGTCTTTGGCTTAGCAGACGGAATAATCGATAAGTGCCGACCCTATCCTGCGCCCTCTTGCATTTTCACTGAACCGAAAACAATGCGAACACTCCAGTCCCGGATAATGCCACCCTCTTTCAGTAAACGGGAAACCACATCGAATCGTCCGTTACGATATCGAATTCCTTCCTTAATATCGCCTACAATTCTCCGACATTTACCATCTTTCTTTCAAATCTATATTGGAATATATATTTTTTGAAAATCGTTTTTGAATAAATTAATCGTTTGACATTTACTGGGATTAATATGCTCGACGGATGAAGTGCTAAAAATAGGATAACGTGGAAGCGTATAGAATTTCCGGTAATTCGTCATCGAGTATTCGTTTTTTTCGACCTTTCGCGTGGTCTTCTTCATTAATTAATGAATTCATGGCAGCGTTACGTTCACAGCAATCTAGGCAGTACTCATAATTGCAGGGTACGCAAGTGAGTAATGACCAAAGTTACTAATTAACGTTCAAAATGAGAATCCCAAGACGCGTTCCCTATACTGTACTCTTACCCTCTGATAATGTTCTTAGTATTAATTGCAAAATGTTAATTGCCACGTTCAGGGCCAACTAAAAAAGAGGGAAAGGAAAACACCATTTGCGAGATGTTTGATGCACCAGTTAAGAATTCTATTTCATATCTTGATTGCCTCGACTAATACACAGGAAACATTTACGTAATTACATGTTTAAGAATAAATTTTCCGCATATTCACCGGGCAAAATGGTTTGGAAATCAGCGGCGTTGCAAAAACTGCACTTTGCGCGGCTTCGCGTCGGAAGACGACGTGTCGTTGCTTTCCCTCGAATCCGTGTCCTTGGCCTCGGTAACGGAGGACGATCCATTCGACAATAAGTGCACCGATGATTTTTCCCTCGTCAATATATCTTTCTCCTCGTTATCTCCTAAACTTTCATTTTCCCCTTGCTCGTCCCCAGGCCATTCCTCCAACGAATTATTATCAGACGCTTCCTCGTCGAAGATATTCTTCGCTTTCCTCTCAGCGTTATCGAATTTCTCTTTCAGTAGCTTGTAAACCTCGTCCGAGGTGAACCTGAAAATTTATCAGTCCATTAAGAACGGTCCTTCGGGATTTTAATCCCGTTATTCGTTATCACTCGATCTTGTTACGGTTGTTATTCTTTCTTAACGGAGAAAGTCCATTAACGGAAGAACCGTCTATCCCATTTTCTCGTAACGCGAGCAATCCCATCGATCACGAATAGGTCGAATTACGTAATGAGCAGGATACTAACGGCATCTTAAAGGGCTCCTTGTACCAGAGCGGGAATCCCGTGGGATTGTGTCTCCCGTCGGGAATCGAATTCTCGGTGGGCAATGAATGCAGCTTGAAATGCGCCGGCTCGACCGTCTCCTCTAATAAGGCTGACACTTGCCGAGCGTATTCCTCCGTGCCAGCTGTTCGCTCCAGTCTGGGAATTAGCCGAATGACTTTCAGTAACAGCAACAGTTTTTATTTATAGTAACACATTGATGTCAATTTGAAAAGTGACGTTTCTTTTATTATCCAAAAAATAATGATGCGTATTACATCTTTCGTTCTGCACACCTAATTGTCTTAGTTAAGGGATTACTTTTGAACCATTTGCCTGGTGAATTCCAATCTGGGCGTTAGTCTGTAATACGGAACAGCAGTTGGATCCGACGAGGTTTTCACCCTCCCAGCTTTCGGTTTATTCGCGTCCTCGACCCCATAGAATCTTCCGAAATGCACCGCCGTATCTTCGGGCAGAGTGGATGTTATCCTGCTGTCCTTTTGAGGATTTTCCTGTTCACTTTTCGCATTACTGTTCGCGGAGGTCGCTCGCTTCTCCGCGTTCGCGGTGTCCGCGGTACTCTTCGAGAAGTGGGATTTCTGCTTCCTCCTGGCGAAACTCCAAACGAAAAAGGTAAATGGGTAATTGCACGTTACGGTAACGACGGGTTGATATACGCGTTGTTAATGCGGATGCGTGTCCGCGTTCCCTTCGAGTTCGTTTGTCCTTCATTACATTCATTAAACGATGCCCGGCGCGCCCATTTCGTTTACGCGGTTTCTTCAACCCGTTTCAAGAACGAAATTACACGTTCTTATATTGTAATAAAGCCCGATTAAAAGCACGTTACCGAATTATGCAATTAAATTTTGCGAAAGCCAAAATCGAGATCATTTTTAATTGCGGCTCCAGCGATCCGTCAGGAATTCCTCGTTCATCGCTGTATAATTCGTGAGACGATTTAAAAAGAACTTAACCACGTGAGACGGGTTCAAATAAGACCCGAGCCTAACCCGGGTTTACCGTTAGAACATTTTATTTCCGCTATGCCGGAAAAACGCGTGTGCTGTTCGATCGTAAGCCTGTATCGGTTAATTCATCGTGACAAGCAATTTGCGAGAAATTACGGATGAATGGAACGTCGATCGGATACGCGAGAGCCTTTCTGCAAAAGTCGCATGGGCGACAAACGCGTCGGATTGCATGAATTATTCATCCGAACGAATTACCGCGCGCGGAATGTTGGGAACGCGTTAAACTTTACAATTTCCTGTCGGCTTTTTTCCATCTAGCTCGCGGGGAAATACCTGTACATCAGTGCTGGAAAAAGACGTAACTCACCTTCGAAATTTGCCGATTAACGAAGGTGATGCGTGTAGGTTACTCGACGCGGTGGTGGGCTTCTTTCGACGATTTTCGTTCACCCTTGTGGCTGATTTCACTTTGGATTTATTAAGCATACTGGCTGATTAACCTTTCTGCAAATTTTTAATTTCATCGATCAGGCGACAGCTGGCAGAGAATTTACTACTGCTGTTTCCTTGTTTATTGGGTGAAAATTCCGATGCCCGAACGTCGCGAAGGGAGACGAAGTCATGGTCCCGGGATCGATCTCTGGTAACGCGTTGCAGGAACGTTTTAACGAGATTAGATTGCAATGGTTTTAATGGAATTGTACCGATATAAAGGGGAGTAATCTTTTTTCGTCGCCGATCGCAATTAACCGCAAAACATATCACGGGGCATGCTACCTTAAAGAACCATAATTTTGTTACGGTATGCGTAAATTGGTTGGTTAATTTGGTTATTTGATAGTCGACGATTGCGAATCGAAGAGAAGGTACGTCCTTTCACGTGGTTGGTTACCTGAGAGCATCCGTTTTTGTCGAACCCGGATCCTCTTTTTTCGCCCGTTACCCTGATTTATTCAACGTCGCAGCCGGTGCATCGTAACAAATTACGCGCGGCCAAGAAGAAAACTGATAAAAATGTTAATAAGAGTTTCCTTGCTGTTCACGAGCACGTGTCGCGCGGCGATTCTCTACAAAAAGGACGACAGGATCGTAAAATATGTAGTCTCGTTTTTGTATGATGTATCAAGGAAACGCCCGGGTTCCCGCGTAGGCACGGTTGGTCAGTCGACCGGGGAGAGGGTGAAAAAAGAAAGCCGAGGAATAGAGGGTGTGTGGGCAGGCAGTCGAATGTATCTGTTCTTTAAAAAAGAAGATAGTAGTAGGGTCGGAGGGGGGAGGGAATAGCTATAGAAAGCGTCGGCTTATTTACGATCGAAAAGAGCGAAGGCACCGTGGCTTGAATTCGTGCGCGAGACTCGGCGCGAGAAAAGGGAGCAAAACCGCGTCGCCGGCGCGCGATGCATATCTTATGCACGTGCCGTTGCAGAAAAAGGAAAGAACCCATTGGTCCTGACGCTCGGCTACGAAATTATTTATTACCCGGTGCATCGAGAAATGCTAAATATTTCAAGGTTCAAAAGGCCTCGCACGAGGCCCGCCCTCCCCTTCGCTTTTTATTTTAATACTGTTCCTCTGCCCACGTTCCGGAGATTTTCTAAACTCCATCGTCTCACGATTCCAATTGTAACATGATAAAGTCATAAAAAATGAATTCCTGCTTCTTTTACTTTCATACGTGTAGAAGAAGACGTCTTTGAAATGAATTGTAACTCTGCTTAGATTTTATCGTGCGTTACGAGATGTACGACGTGTACTGGCTGGAAAAAATGGGATTAACACATAAAGGGCGTGTTTGCATATAGATGATACCGTCGTGTGTAATACTGTAGCTACTTCCTGCTACTGGTGTCGGTGCTAGTTCTAATTACTTCGCGCCGCATCTGCAGCTGCTCCTGTGCGGCAATAAAAGCTTCTAGAGCTTCGTTAGGCGATACAGCGTACGATGAGTTTCTGTTCCTGGCTCGTAGAGTTCAGCAAGGAGAGATCGTTTGATCAGGCCACGGAATTCCTCCGGCAGAACAATTATATCCGCGTATCGCTTTCAAAAAGAAACGATATTCAATACGCGCTAATTGGATTCGCAATTGCCCGGTTTCCAGTCTGTTCATTCATTAAAAAAATCAATAAAGAGTGCTGCACCTTTTGATTGCTCAGACATTAATTAAATTTTTCTGTTGGTTTCTTCTGATATTTATATTTCATTGCTATTTTATTTATTTATCACAATATTTCATCTGTTCTGAATTTGATTGCATACCCTTTACTCGTACTATTGAAATATTTTCTAATTATTCATTCATCTTGTTAGAACCTCCTCCCACGACCATCTGTTCGAATGGTTTTTTTCTATACACGACCGAAGTATGCGGTTTACTCTTCCACGTTTATGAAAATGACTTGTGTCAACAGATACTAGTTCAGAGAAGAGTGATTCATTTCACTGGCTGCGTAAATGAGAATGTCTACGTGTTAGCTCGTACCCACAGTCCTTATCGCGGCTTGCTAACACGTGGCTAAGATATGTTCGAAAGGGAAGGTTAAAGACGTTCAACGAGGCGCCCGAGAAATCTGTATAGTTCGACGGAACGCTTTTGGGAAATATGCGCTGTGGTTATTGGCAATCGGAGATTCATATAGAATCATAGTAATTGGAATTTGTCTGTACTAGATGTTTTATGAGTGCAACGGCATTCCCGACTCGGTTACAGATGCACGCGGATATGCACAACGAGTGCAGTCTCTGATGCAGGCAAGCATGCACTGTGGGAAACGTTCGGCTATACCCTTTCGCATAAACTGTATCGTAGATATACCGTTGTATCGCAGCATTCTAGATTCTTTCAATTCTCATTGTTCCTTCAAATCAAACTGCATTTAAAAACTGAACGTCTCAATTATGTCTTCCAGCCAGACGTCTCAATTATGTCTTCTTTATATCGAAACGATTCCCTTATCAGTAAAGAAAATAATGCATTTCTCTGGAAAATTTCTAAACCATTATAATTGTTAATATAAAAAAAAATTTCTGTTTTTCTTAACAACCATAAGTGTGACTTTCGCTCAAAGTAGAGAATGCAAATTAAATTATGCAT